TTAGTGTGTGTGTATTTGTGTGTTTGTGTGTGTGTCAGTGTGTTCGTGTGTGTGTGTTCGTGTGTGTGTGTTAGTTTGTGTGTGTGTTAGTTTGTGTGTGTGTTAGTGTGTTAGTGTGTGTGTGTTAGTTTGTTTGTGTGTGTGTTAGTGTGTTCGTGTGTGTGTTAGTGTGTGTGTATTAATGTGTGTGCTAGTGTGTGTGTGTTAGTGTGTGTGTGTTAGTGTGTGTGTTAGTGTGTGTGTGTTAGTGTGTGTGTATTTGTGTGTTTGTGTGTGTGTCAGTGTGTTCGTGTGTGTGTGTTTGTGTGTGTGTTAGTTTGTGTGTGTGTTAGTGTGTTAGTGTGTGTGTGTTAGTGTGTGTGTTAGTGCGTGTGTTAGTGTGTGTGTGTTAGTGTGTTAGTGTGTGTGTGTTAGTGTGTGTGTGTGTGTTAGTGTGTGTGTGTTAGTGTGTGTGTGTTAGTGTGTGTGTGTGTGTTAGTGTGTGTGTGTTAGTGTGTGTGTGTGTTAGTGTGTGTGTGTGTTAGTGTGTGTGTGTTAGTGTGTGTGTGTGTTAGTGTGTGTGTGTTAGTGTGTGTTAGTGTGTGTTAGTGTGTGTGTGTGTTAGTGTGTGTTAGTGTGTGTGTGTGTGTTAGTGTGTGTGTGTGTTAGTGTGTAGTGTGTTAGTGTGTTAGTGTGTGTGTGTTAGTGTGTTAGTGTGTGTGTGTTAGTGTGTGTGTGTTAGTGTGTGTGTGTTAGTGTGTTAGTGTGTGTTAGTAAATTAGTGTGTGTGTGTTAGTGTGTGTGTTAGTGTATGTGTGTGCGTGTGTGTGTACGTGTGCGTGTGTATGTGTGTGCGTGTGTATGTGTGTATGCGTGTGTATGTGTTTGCGTGTGTATGTGTGTACGTGTGCGGGTGTATGTGTGCGTGTGTGCGTGTGTATGTGTGTGCGTGTGTATGTGTGTGCGTGTGTATGTGTGTATGTGTGCGTGTGTATGTGTGTGCGTGTGTATGTGTGTGTGTGCGTGTGTATGTGTGTGCGTGTGTATGTATGCGTGTGTATGTGTGCGTGTGTGCGTGTGTATGTGTGCATGTGCGTGTGTATGTGGGGAGAGACAGGCTAGCGGTTAGCGCGCTGTTCTACGGCCACCTGAGTTCGACTCCGGGCACCAACACCAGTGACGATTATCTAAACCAGTCCTGGGCTTCATCTAGGTCGACTCAGCCTCAACTTAGTACCTGGTGTGATGTGTGAACATCGCCACTAGGTGGGAAACAAAGGCGGCGTGGTGCTGGTAACCCACCCCCTCGTGTGCCGTGCAGACCTTCATAGGTGCTCGCTAACAGCACTTGCCCCTGCAGTCTCTTAAGGCTACACGGGGGATCTTTGTATCGATGTTTGTGTGTGTGTCTACGTGAGTAGCCGTGCAGAGGATTGTGTGTGGGTCTGTGATTGCCTCCGCTAGGTCGACTCAGCATCAAATGAATACCTAGTGTGGTGTGTAGTAAACATCGCCACTGGGGAGACAAAGGCGGCCGGGCGGGGTGCTGGTCACCTACCCGCCCCCTCGTGTGCCCTGCCCGACCTTCACAAGTTCTCCCCGCCAACAGCACTTGCCCCAACAGTGTGTCGAGGCTTCACGCGGGGGTGGTGAACCTTTGACTGTGTGAGTGTTTATTTCCTCCCACGTGTTTGTGCGCGTGGCGTTGACCTCAATTACTGGAATCTATTAAATGCACGTCGGGAGCCTTTAATACGAAAAACAAACAAAAAAACTAAGCTTTTTTTTGTTAGGTTTTTTTTTTCTTTCCCCCCAAACGGAGCAGATGTGAAAATAATTCAACAAACAGACGCATTAGAACCAAAGGGACCCCTCGCCTCTTTACCATCACAATGCATTTCATTTTTTTATTCGCATATTTATACAGGGGGTTGGTGGGTGGGTGGTGGGGGGGGCTTTAAAAAATCAATCCTGACAGTTTTCCCCCGCGTTGCATTACAATATTAATAGCCATATTCTATTGGTATATTAAAGCGTTTTCATATTGGCATTATTTACAATTTATTATCGCGCAATTAGCATACATCCCCCGTGCTGGAAAATGTGCGTATATGCTGTGCATGCGTTTGATTAATATGTGCATGCTTATCTATATTCGCACATCGTCGGAAGAGTCACAGGTGATTGCCTACGCAGCCCTGTGGTGGAAATTCCACGTTCCTATGGCGGGCGTGCGCGCGGGGTTGTGGGGGCGAGTCATTCTATTTGACAACTGACTTCCACCACTAGGTGGTACCAATTTTATCGACCCCCAGAGGGACGGAAGGATGATGGGCTGAGTCAACGACCGCCAGCCAGGCAGTGATGGAATATCCAAGCGTGCGTGTGGGGGGGGGGAGCGGTGGTGCAGCGGTTAGCGCGCTCCCCTACGAACCCGGCGAAACGGGTTCGATTCCCGCTCACGGCCAACACCGGTGACGATTATTCTGAACCGGTGCTGGGCCTCCCCTAAGTCGACTCGGCCTCAAATGAGTTCCTTGTACGGTGGTGTAAACATCGCCACTAGGGAGACAAAGGCGGCCGGGCGTGGTGCTGGCCACCCACCTCTTCGTGTGCCGTGCCGGCCTTCATAGGTGCTCGCTAACAGCACTTGCCCCTACAGTCTGTTCAGGCTGTATTTGTGTGAGTTGATGTGTGCTTTAAATGTGTGTAAGCTTGTGTGCATCTGCTTCGTGTAACTGTGTGTGTGACGTATGAGTGAGTGTGTGTGTGTGGTGTGTGTGTGGTGTGTGTGTGGTGTTTGTGTGGGGTGTGTTTGGTGTGTGTGTGTTGTATGAGTGAGCGTGTGTGTGCTGTATGAGTGAGCGTGTGTGTGTGTGGCTTGTATGAGCGTGTGTGTGTTGTATGAGTGTGTGTGTGTGGTGTGTGTGTGGTGTGTGTGGTGTGTGTGTGTGGTGTGTGTGTGTGTGGTGTGTGTGTGGTGTGTGTGTGTGTGGTGTGTGTGTGTGGTGTGTGTGTGTAGTGTGTGTGTGTGTTGTGTGTGTGTAGTGTGTGTGTGTGTTGTGTGTGTGTGGTGTGTGTGTGTGTGGTGTGTGTGTGGTGTGTGTGTGTGGTGTGTGTGTGTGTGGTGTGTGTGTGTGGTGTGTGTGTGTGTGGTGTGTGTGTGGTGTGTGTGTGTGGTGTGTGTGTGTGTGTGTGGTGTGTGTGTGTGGTGTGTGTGTGTGTGGTGTGTGTGTGTGTTGTGTGTGTGTAGTGTGTGTGTGTGTGTGGTGTGTGTGTGGTGTGTGTGGTGTGTGTGTGTGGTGTGTGTGTGGTGTGTGTGGTGTGTGTGTGGTGTGTGTGTGTGGTGTGTGTGTGTGTGTGGTGTGTGCGTGTTGTATGAGTGAGCGGGTGAGCGTGTGTGCGTGCGTTTATTGTGGGGTGCGGTGGCGCGGCGGTTAGCGCACTGCGCTACGAAACACAGCGACCTGGGTTCGATTCCCGCTCATCGCCACCAACATCAGTGACGACTATCTGAACCGGTCATGGGCCTCCTCCCCTAGGTCGACTTAGCCTTAAGTCGAATAGAAAGTGATGTTGACCTCTCGCCCGAGGTCCCCAGAGAGGCGAGAGAGAGAGAGACACGGAGAGAACGTACACACAACAACAGCCGCCATTCGACACGAAGTGGCGGTGAAGGTCACCACGGCGCCCGTGCCAGGCTAGGTGCACTTTGAGGCTGCGTGAAGTGTCGAACAGAGGTCACGGGAGCAGCCCGCTGTCTCTGCGGGTTGACCGGCTGAGACAACTGCCCAGATGCACCACCACCACCACCGCCACAACCACCACAACCACCACAACCACCACCACCATAACCACCACCATAACCACCACCACCACCACAACCACCGCCACCACCACCACCACAACCGCCACCACCACCATCACCACAACCACCACCACCACAACCACCACCGCCACCACCACCATAACCACCGCCACCACCACCATAACCACCACCACCACCACAACCACCACCGCCACCACCATAACCACCGCCAACACTGCCACCACCCACCACCAACGCTACCACCACCACCACAACCACCACAACCACCACCACAACCACCGCCACCACCACCACCACCAGTGTGCCCCCACTGCTACAACTCGCTGCCTTCTCGTCTCCGCACTCTCCGTTCCCCGTCGTCGCTCTCTCCGGAATCTCCGCGCGGCGCACCCCGGGGGGGGGGTCCGGGTCGAGAGTCGAACCCACGTGGGATGTCGTCACGTGCTGCGGGCGATGACGTGCCCCCCCCCCCCAATCTTCCTCTCCCCCCAAACTCTCCCCCCCCAATCTCCCCCCTCCCCGTGTCTCCGCATCTCCCCATCCATCTCCGCCACCACCACCTCATTCCCTCACACTCTCTCCCCATCTTCACATCTCTCCATCTCACTCTCCTCCCCACCCTCCCCCCGTGTCTCCACTCCCCCCATGCCCCCCCCACCCCCCCGTGTCTCCACTCCCCCCATGCCCCCACCCCCCATGCCCCCCCCACCCCCCATGCACCCCACCCCCCGTGTCTCCACTCCCCCCTCCCTTCCCACCCCCCCGTGTCTCCACTGCCCCCTTGCCCCCCCCACCCCCCGTGTCTCCACTCCTCCCACCCCCCCCCGTGTCTCCACTTCCCCCCATGCCCCCCCACCCCCCCGTGTCTCCACTCCCCCATGCCCCCCCACCCCCCCGTGTCTCCACTCCCCCCCCATGCCCACCCCCCATGCCCCCCCCACCCCCCATGCACTCCACCCCCCGTGTCTCCACTCCCCCTTGCCCCCCCCCCACCCCCCGTGTCTCCACTCCTCCCACCCCCCCGTGTCTCCACTTCCCCCCATGCCCCCCCACCCCCCCTGTCTCCACTCCCCCCTCCCCTCCCACCCCCGCGTGTCTCCACTCCCCCCCATGCTCCCCCCACCCCCCATGCCCCCCCCACCCCCATGCCCCACCCCCATGCCCCCCCCCCACCCCCCACGTGCTCCTGCAGGTTCAGCCCGTACGAGTGGAAGAACCCTCACCCCTGCAACCCGGACTCGGACGTCCTGGAGAACAACTTCACGATGCTCAACAGCCTCTGGTTCGGCGTGGGAGCACTCATGCAGCAAGGTGGGGAGCCCCCCCCCCCTCACGCCCCCCCCCTCACCCCCCCTCACGCCCCCCCCCCCCCATTCACTACCTCGTGTATCCCAATGTGTGTCCCTCGTCTGTCTCTCCGCGTGTCTTCACGTGTCTTCGTGTGTCTGCTCGTGTCTCCTTGCACATCCACCCACGTGTCTCCGCGTGTCTCCTCGTGTCTGCTCGTGTTTCCTCGTGTCTCCTCACACATCTCCCCGCGTGTCTCCTCGTGTCTGCTCGTGTTTCCTCGTGTCTCCCCACATATCTCCCCGCGTGTCTCCGTGTGTCTTCTCGTGTTTCCTTGCACATCTCCCTGCGTGTCTCCGCGTGTCTGCCTGTGTGTCTCCCAATGTGTGTCCCTCGTCTGTCTCTCCGCGTGTCTCCTTGTGTCTCCTAGTGTTTCCTTGCACATCTCCCCACGTGTCTCCGCGTGTCTGCCTGTGTGTCTCCCTGTGTGTCTCCCCCGTCTGTCTCCCCGCGTGTCTCCCAATGTGTGTCCCCTGTCTGTCTCTCCGCGTGTCTCCTTGTGTCTGCCTGTGACCCTGTGTATCTCCCTGTGTGTCTCCCCCGTCTGTCTCTCCGCGTGTCTCCTCGTGTCTGCTTGTGTCTCCCCGCACATCTCCCCGCGTGTCTCCCAATGTGTGTCCCCTGTCTGTCTCTCCGCGTGTCTCCTTGTGTCTCTTCGTGTCTCCTTCCCGTGTCTCCCCGCACATCTCCCCACGTGTCTCCTCGTGTCTCCCCCCTCGTGTCTCCTCGCGTCTCCCCCCACGTATCTCCCCGTGTCTCCTCATGTCTCCCCTCGCGTGTCTCCCCGCACATCTCCCCACGTGTCTCCTCGCGTCTCCCCCCACGTGTCTCCCCCCACGTGTCTCCCCCCCCGTGTCTCCTCATGTCTCCTTCCCGTGTCTCCCCGCACATCTCCCCACGTGTCTCCCCCCGCGTGTCTCTCCCCGCAGGCTCGGAGCTGATGCCGCGTGCCCTGTCGACGCGCATCGTTGGCGGCATCTGGTGGTTCTTCACCCTCATCCTCATCTCGTCCTACACGGCCAACCTGGCCGCCTTCCTCACGGTCGAGCGCATGGAATCGCCCATCGGCTCCGCGGACGACCTCGCCAAGCAGACCAAGATCGAGTACGGGGCCGTGCGAGACGGCTCCACCATGACCTTCTTCAAGGTGGGCGAGACCGCTCGCCCCACCGCTCGCCCCTCAGCTCGTCCACTCGTCCACCTGCTCGCCCCTCCACTTGCCCCTCAGCTCGCCCACTCGTCCACCCACTCACCCTTCCACTTGCCGCTCAGCTCGGCCACTCGTCCATCTGCTCGCCCACTCGTCCACCCGCTCACCCCTCCACTTACCCCTCAGCTCGCCCACTCGTCCACCCACTCACCCTTCCACTTGCCCCTCAGCTCGCCCACTCGTCCATCTGCTCGCCCACTCGTCCACCCGCTCGCCCCTCCACTTGCCCCTCAGCTCGCCCACTCGTTCACCTGCTCGCCCACTCACCCCCCCGCTCACCCCTCCACTGGCCCCTCAGCTCACCCACTCGTCCACCCGCCCACCTACTCATCCCTGCGCTCGCTCACACACAATTCCCTACCCATTTCACCCACCCCACCCACTCGCTCGTTCACTCACTCGCTCACCCACCCTCTCACCCATCCACCCACCCACTCGCTCACCCACCCACCCACCCACTCACCCATCCACCCACCCGCTCACCCATCCACCCACCCGCTCACCCACCTACCCACCCACCCTCTCACCCATCCACCCACCCGCTCACCCACCCACCCGCTCACCCATCCACCCATCCACCCACCCACTCTCTCACCAACCCACCCACCCACCCACCCTCTCACCCACCCACTCACCCACCCTCTCACCCATCCACGAACCCACTCACCCACCCTCTCACCCATCCACCCACCCGCTCACTCACCCATCCACCCTCTTATCCACCCACCCACCCACCCGCTCACCCAACCACCCAACCACTCTTTCACCCATCCACCCACCCACTGACCCACCCACCCTCTCATCCATCCACCCACCCACCCGCTCACCCAACCACCCACCCACCCTCTCACCCATCCACCCACCCGCTCACCCACCCACCCGCTCACCCTTCTACCAACCCACTCACCCACCCTCTCACCCATCCACCCACCTGCTCACTCACCCATCTACCCTCTTACCCACCCACCCACCCGCTCACCCACCTACCCAACCATTATTTCACTTATCCACCCACCCGCTCACCCACCCACCCGCTCACCCACCCACCTACCCACCCGCTCACCCACCCACCCTCTCACCCATCCACCCACCCGCTCACCCACCCACCCACCCTCTCACCCACCCACCCACCCTCTCACCCATCCACCCACCTGCTCACCCACCCACCCATCCACTGACCCACCCACCCTCTCATCCATCCACCCACCCTCTCACCCACCCACCCACCCACCCTCTCACCCATCTACCCACCTGCTCACCCATCCACCCACCCACTGACCCACCCACCCTCTCACCCATCCACCCACCCGCCCACCCACCCACCTCGCTCAATCACCCACTCCCCCCTGCCCTCCCCACCCCACCTCTGACCGGGCGTCCCACGTCCCACGTGCGTGTGCGCTCGCTCAGAAGTCGCGCATCTCGACGTACGAGAAGATGTGGGCGTTCATGAGCAGCCGCCACCAGACAGCGCTCGTCAAGAACAACGAGGAGGGCATCCACCGAGCCCTGACCACGGACTTCGCCATGCTCATGGAGTCGACAACCATCGAGCACGTGACGCAGCGCTACTGCAACCTCACCCAGATCGGGGGCCTCATCGACAGCAAGGGCTACGGCGTGGGCATGCCCCTCGGTGAGAGGGGAGACGCTGAGAGACGCCGAGACTGAGAGAGACTTAGAGACACAGAGAGACACAGAGAGACACTGAGAGACGCTGACACAGAGAGACACTGAGAGAGACACCGAGAGAGACTCAGAGAGACACAGAGACTGAGAGAGACACAGAGAGACACTGAGAGACACTGAGAGACGCCGAGACTGAGAGAGACTGAGAGAGACTGAGAGACACAGAGAGACACTGAGAAACGCTGACACAGAGAGACACTGAGATAGACTGAGAGACACAGAGAGACACAGAGAGAGACTGAGAGAGACTGAGAGATCCTGAGAGACGCCGAGACTGAGAGAGACTGAGAGACACAGAGAGACACTGAGAGACGCTGTGTGAGACACTGAGACTGAGAGAGACTGAGAGACACAGAGAGACACTGAGAGACGCTGTGTGAGACACTGAGACTGAGAGAGACTGAGAGACACAGAGAGACACTGAGAGACGCTGAGACTGAGAGAGACACTGAGAGAGACTGAGAGACACAGAGAGACGCTGAGAGACGCTGTGACTGAGACGCCGAGACTGAGAGAGACTGAGAGACACAGAGAGACACTGAGAGACGCTGACACAGAGAGACACTGAGATAGACTGAGAGACACTGTGCGAGACGCCGAGACTGAGAGAGACTGAGAGACACAGAGATACACTGAGAGAGACACCGAGATAGACTCAGAGAGACACAGAGACTGAGAGAGACACAGAGAGACACTGAGAGACACTGAGAGACGCTGAGACTGAGAGAGACACTGAGAGAGACTGAGAGACACAGATAGACACTGAGAGACGCTGTGACTGAGACGCCGAGACTGAGAGAGACTGAGAGACACAGAGAGACACTGAGAGAGACACCGAGAGAGACTCAGAGAGACACAGAGAGACCCTGAGAGACGCTGTGCGAGACGCTGAGACTGAGAGAGACTGAGATACACTGAGAGAGTCTGAGAAATGCTGAGCGAGACGCTGAGACTGAGAGACGCTGAGACTGAGAGACTGAGAGAGACTGAGAGAGACACTGACAGCCGCTGAGAGACACTGAGAGAGAGACCGAGAGACTCAGAGACACCGAGAGACGCCGTGCGAGACGCCGAGACTGAGAGACACAGAGAGACACAGAGAGACACAGAGAGACGCTGAGACTGAGACGCTGAGACTGAGAGAGACTGGGGGACACAGAGAGACACTGAGAGACACAGAGAGACACAGAGAGACACTGAGAGACGCTGTGCGAGACGCCGAGACTGAGAGAGACTGAGAGACACAGAGAGACACAGAGAGAGACTGAGAGACACAGAGAGACACAGAGAGAGACTGAGAGACACAGAGAGACACTGAGAGACGCTGAGACTGAGAGAGACTGAGAGACACTGAGAAACGCTGTGCGAGACGCCGAGACTGAGAGATACTGAGAGAGACAGAGATACACTGAGATAGACTGAGAAACGCTGAGCGAGACGCTGAGAGAGACACTGACAGAGAGACAGACTGAGAAAGACACTGAGAGATACATCATGAGAGAGACTCAGACTGAGAGACACAGAGATACACCATGAGAGACACAGAGAGACACTGAGAGACACTGAGAGAGACTGAGAAATGCTGAGCGAGACGCTGAGAGAGACACTGACAGAGAGAGAGACTGAGAAAGACACTGAGAGATACATAATGAGAGAGATTGAGACTGAGAGACACAGAGATACACCGAGAGACACAGAGAGAGACTCAGAGAGACTGAAAAATACTTAGAGAGATTGAGAGACTCTGAGAGACGCTCAGAGACACTGACAGAGACTCAGAGAGACTGAAAAAGACTTAGAGAGAATGAGAGACTCTGAGAGACGCTCAGAGACACTGACAGAGACTCAGAGAGACTGAAAAAGACTTTGAGAGAATGAGAGACACTGAGAGACGCTGAGAGACACTGAGAGACACTGAGAGAGACTCAGCGAGACTGAAAAAGACTTAGAGAGAATGAGAGACTCCGAGAGACGCTCAGAGACACTGACAGAGACTCAGAGAGACTGAAAAAGACTTTGAGAGAATGAGAGACACTGAGAGACGCTGAGAGACACTGGGAGACACTGAGAGAGACTCCGAGAGACTGAAAAAGACTTTGAGAGAATGAGAGACTCCGAGAGACGCTCAGAGAGACTGAGAAACTCAGAGAGAATCAGAGAGACTGAGAGACTGAGAGAGACTGAGACTCTGAGAGACACTGAGAGAGACTCAGCGAGACTGAAAAAGACTTAGAGAGAATGAGAGACTCCGAGAGACGCTCAGAGACACTGACAGAGACTCAGAGAGACTGAAAAAGACTTTGAGAGAATGAGAGACACTGAGAGACGCTGAGAGACACTGGGAGACACTGAGAGAGACTCCGAGAGACTGAAAAAGACTTTGAGAGAATGAGAGACTCCGAGAGACGCTCAGAGAGACTGAGAAACTCAGAGAGACTCAGAGAGACTGAGAGACTGAGAGAGACTGAGAGACGCTGAGAGACACTCAGAGAGACTCAGAGAGACTGAGACTGGTGGGGAGATGGATGAAGAGGCTTGGCAGGGGGGAGGGAGATGGGGAGAAAGAGAGAGAATGGGATTGGGGTGCTGGGGGGGGAGATGGATAGGGAGATAGGGGAGATGGGGAGACATGGGGGGAGGGGGAAATGGGGAGAGACAGGGAGATGGCAATACGCATGGCCAACCTCGCTAATCGGAAGTGTGGGGTAAGGACAACGAACACAACAACAATAACAACAAGCAGCAGTTCTAATGAGATGAGTTTGTCAATCTAGATGATGATTTAAAAGTGCATTGCTCCTAATATCGGGAAGGGAGAGCGTTCCAGACGGCCTCAAAAGTGCATCTTCTTTTTTTTGCGACAAAACACGAGTGTAGTCTAATGCGCCGGTGCAATACACCGGTACAAAGCACCGTTGCAATGAGCTGGTGCAATGAGTTGGTGCAATGAGTTGGTGCAATGAGCTGGTGCAATGCGCCGGTGCAACGCGTCGGTGCAACGCGCCGGTCGACATTGGAGGGGAACAGAAACTCCGCGAGGATTCCAATTGGGTGCGACGGGACCATCGTACCGAGGGGTGGAAGCGCTGCGCGCTGCAGTGACCGCCTTTGTTCGATGGCCGGCAAAAAAGCCTGTGCCTAACCCTCCACACAAACTATTTCTCTCTGTGTAAATCCCTGTGCTTCGCGTGGGTGGCTGGCTGGATATCTGGCTGGCTGGCTTGGTGGCTGGCTGGGTGACTGTCATTGTATCTGGCTGGGTGGAGATTTGGCTGGGTAGGTATCTGACTGGGTATTTGGATGGGTGGCTGGCTAACTGACTATCTCGCTGGGTATGTGGCTGGGTAGCTGGCTAGGTGGGTGGCTGGGTATCTGTCTGGGTGGGTGGCTGGGTGGGTGGCTGGCTGTGTATCTGACTGGGTGGCTGACTGGGCAGGTGGCTGGGTGGCTATCTGGCTGGGCATCTGGCTGGGTATCTGGCTGGGTGGCTGACTGGGTGGGTGGCTATCTGGCTGGGTATCTGGCTGGATGGCTGACTGTGCATCTGGATGGGTGGCTGACTGGCTATCTGACTGGGTCGGTGGCTGGGTGGGTGGCTATCTGGCAGGGTATCTGATTGAGTGGGTGGCTGGGTGGGTGGCTGGGTTGGTGGCTGGCTGTGTGGCTCTCTGACTGTGCATCTGGCTGGGTGGGTGGCTGGGTCGGTGGCTGGCTGGGTGGTTGGGTATGTGGCTGGCTGGCTGGCTGGGTGGGTGGCTGTGTATCTGTCTGGGTGGGTGGCTGGGTGGGTGGCTGACTGGGTATCTGTTTGGGTGGGGCTCGGTGGGTGGCTGGGTGGGTGGCTGGGTGGGTAGCTATCTGGCTGTGCATCTGACTGGGTGGCTGGCTGGCTGGGTATCTGATTGGGTGGGTGGCTGGGTGGGTGGCTGGGTGGGTGGATGGCTATCTGACTGTGCATCTGACTGGGTGACTGACTCGTGCATCTGTCTGGCTGGGCGGCTATCTGACTGTGCATCTGACTGGGTGGCTGACTGTGCATCTGGCTGGGTGGCTATCTGACTGTGCATCTGTCTGGGCCCCGGTCTCTTGGGGCCGTGCGCTGTGTCCCGCAGGCTCGCCCTACCGCGACATGATCACCATCGCCATCCTGCAGCTGCAGGAGGGGGGCAAGCTGCACACGCTCAAGGAGCGCTGGTGGCGCAGCAGCTCCTGCCCCCAGGAGGAGACGAAAGAGGCGAGCGCCCTGGGCGTGCAGAACATCGGCGGCATCTTCATCGTCCTCGCCGCCGGACTCGGAGTCGCCGTCGTCGCCGCGCTGGCAGAGTTCCTCTACGGGTCGCAGCGCGCTGCCACTCGCGACAAGGTGCGGTGGCGGCGGCGGTGGTGGTGCGGTGGTGCGTGGTGGTGTTGTGTGGGGTTGTGGTCGTGGTAGTGTGGTGGTGCGTGGTGGTGCGGTGGTGGTGGTGGTGTGGTGGTGGTGCGGTGTGGTGTGTGGTGCGGTGGTGCGTGGTGTGGTGGTGGTGCGGTGTGGTGGTGCGTGGTGTTGTGGTGGTGGTGTGGTGGTGGTGGTAGTGTGGTGTGGTGTAGTGCGGCGGTGGCAGTGGTGGTGCGGTGTGGTGGTGGTGGTGGTGCGGTGTGGTGGTGCGGTGTTGTGTGGTGTTGTGTGGTGTTGTGTGGGGTTGTGTTATATGGTGTGGGGTGGTGCAGTGCTCACCGGCCGACTGACGGAGGGCCAGAGGCAGTGGTGGTGGTGATGGAAGAGTGGTGGTGGTGGTGGTGGTCGTGGTGGTGGTGCGTGGTGTTGTGGTGGTGGTGCGGTGTGGTCGTGGTGGTGGTGTGTGGTGTTGTGTGGTGTTGTGCGGTGCGGTGGTGGTGTGGTGCGGGGTGGTGCGGTGTGGTGGTGGTGCGGTGTTGTATTGTGTGGTGTGGTGCAGTGCTGACCGGCCGACTGACGGAGGGCCAGAGGCAGTGGTGGTGGTGATGGAAGAGGGGTGGTGGTGGTGGTGGGAGAGCGGTGGTGGTAGTGGAAGAGCGGTGGCGGTGGTGGTGGTGGTGGGAGAGTGGTGGTGGTGGTGGTGGGAGAGTGGTGGTGGTGGTGGTGGGAGAGTGGTGTTGGTGGGAGAGCGCTGCGCTACGAACGTGGCGACGCGAGTTCCATTCCCGCTCACGGACACCAACACCAGTGACGAATATCTGAACCGGTCCTCTACCCCTAGGTCGACTCAACCCGTGCCACCTGGGTCTGTTTCGTGACCTCCACATGCACCTAGCCTGGCACAGCAGTCAACCCGTGGCACCTGGGTCTGTTCTGTAACCTCCTCATGCACCTAGCCTGGCACAGCAGTCAATCGATGGCACCTGGGTCTGTTCCTTGACCTCCTCATGCACCTAGCCTGGCACAGCAGTCAACCCGTGGCACCTGGGTCTGTTCTGTGACCTCTTCATGCACCTAGCCTGGCACAGCAGTCAACACGTGGCACCAGGGTCTGTTTTGTGACCTCCACATGCACCTAGCCTGGCACAGCAGTCAACACATGGCACCTGGGTCTGTTTCGTGACCTCCACATGCACCTAGCCTGGCACAGCAGTCAACCCGTGGCACCTGGGTCTGTTCTGTAACCTCCTCATGCACCTAGCCTGGCACAGCAGTCAATCGATGGCACCTGGGTCTGTTCCTTGACCTCCTCATGCACCTAGCCTGGCACAGCAGTCAACCCGTGGCACCTGGGTCTGTTCTGTGACCTCTTCATGCACCTAGCCTGGCACAGCAGTCAACACGTGGCACCAGGGTCTGTTTTGTGACCTCCACATGCACCTAGCCTGGCACAGCAGTCAACACATGGCACCTGGGTCTGTTTCGTGACCTCCACATGCACCTAGCCTGGCACAGCAGTCAACCCGTGGCACCTGGGTCTGTTCTGTAACCTCCTCATGCACCTAGCCTGGCACAGCAGTCAATCGATGGCACCTGGGTCTGTTCCTTGACCTCCTCATGCACCTAGCCTGGCACAGCAGTCAACCCGTGGCACCTGGGTCTGTTCTGTGACCTCTTCATGCACCTAGCCTGGCACAGCAGTCAACACGTGGCACCAGGGTCTGTTTTGTGACCTCCACATGCACCTAGCCTGGCACAGCAGTCAACACATGGCACCTGGGTCTGTTTCGTGACCTCCACATGCACCTAGCCTGGCACAGCAGTCAACCCATGGCACCTGGGTCTGTTCCGTGATCTCCACATGCACCTAGCCTGGAACAGCAGTCAACCCATGGCACCTGTAGGGTCAGTCCCGTGACCTCCTCATGCACCTAGCCTGGCACAGCAGTCAACCCGTGGCTCCTCGGTCTGTCCCGTGACCTCCTCATGCACCTAGCCTGGCACAGCAGTCAACACATGGCACCTGGGTCTGTCCCGTGACCTCCACATGCACCTAGCCTGGAACAGCAGTCAACCCGTGGCACCTCGGTCTGTCCCGTGATCTCCACATGCACCTAGCCTGGCACAGCAGTCAACACATGGCACCTGGGTCTGTCCCGTGACCTCCACATGCACCTAGCCTGGCACAGCAGTCAACCCGTGGCACCTGCAGGGTCTGTTCTGTGACCTCCTGCCAGCAGCGAGCCTTCCACACTGCACCGGCTCAAAGTGCACCTAGCCTGGTACAAGCTCTGCGGTGGCGTCACCGGCACTCGGTGGTGAATGTGGATGTTGTTGATGTTGTCGGTGGTGTTGATGGTTGTTGTGATGAAGGCGACAGTGATGATGGTGGTGATCATGGTGGTGGTGATGATGGTGGTGGTAATGGTGGTGGTGGTGATGAAGGCGACAGTGATGATGGTGGTGGTGGTGAGGATGGTGGTGATCATGGTGGTGGTGATGATGGTGGTAATGGTGATGGTGACATCTGTGATGATGGTTGTTGTGATGAAGGCGACAGTGATGATGGTGGTGGTGGTGAGGATGGTGGTGATCATGGTGGTGGTGATGATGGTGGTAATGGTGGTGGTGACATCTGTGATGATGGTTGTTGTGATGAAGGCGACAGTGATGATGGTGGTGGTGGTGAGGATGGTGGTGATCATGGTGGTGGTGATGATGGTGGTAATGGTGATGGTGACATCTGTGATGATGGTTGTTGTGATGAAGGCGACAATGATGATGGTGGTGATCATGGTGGTGGTGATGATGGTGGTGGTAATGGTGGTGGTGGTGATGAAGGCGACAGTGATGATGGTGGTGGTGGTGAGGATGGTGGTGATCATGGTGGTGGTGATGATGGTGGTAATGGTGGTGGTGACATCTGTGATGATGGTTGTTGTGATGAAGGCGACAGTGATGATGGTGGTGATCATGGTGGTGGTGATGATGGTGGTGGTAATGGTGGTGGTGGTGATGAAGGCGACAGTGATGATGGTGGTGGTGGTGAGGATGGTGGTGATCATGGTGGTGGTGATGATGGTGGTAATGGTGGTGGTGACATCTGTGATGATGGTTGTTGTGATGAAGGCGACAGTGATGATGGTGGTGATCATGGTGGTGGTGATGATGGTGGTGGTAATGGTGGTGGTGGTGATGAAGGCGACAGTGATGATGGTGGTGGTGGTGAGGATGGTGGTGATCATGGTGGTGGTGATGATGGTGGTAATGGTGGTGGTGACATCTGTGATGATGGTTGTTGTGATGAAGGCGACAGTGATGATGGTGGTGGTGGTGAGGATGGTGGTGATCATGGTGGTGGTGATGATGGTGGTAATGGTGATGGTGACATCTGTGATGATGGTTGTTGTGATGAAGGCGACAGTGATGATGGTGGTGATCATGGTGGTGGTGATGATGGTGGTGGTAATGGTGGTGGTGGTGATGAAGGCGACAGTGATGATGGTGGTGGTGGTGAGGATGGTGGTGATCATGGTGGTGGTGATGATGGTGGTAATGGTGGTGGTGACATCTGTGATGATGGTTGTTGTGATGAAGGCGACAGTGATGATGGTGGTGGTGGTGAGGATGGTGGTGATCATGGTGGTGGTGATGATGGTGGTAATGGTGATGGTGACATCTGTGATGATGGTTGTTGTGATGAAGGCGACAGTGATGATGGTGGTGATCATGGTGGTGGTGATGATGGTGGTGGTAATGGTGGTGGTGGTGATGAAGGCGACAGTGATGATGGTGGTGGTGGTGAGGATGGTGGTGATCATGGTGGTGGTGATGATGGTGGTAATGGTGGTGGTGACATCTGTGATGATGGTTGTTGTGATGAAGGCGACAGTGATGATGGTGGTGATCATGGTGGTGGTGATGATGGTGGTGGTAATGGTGGTGGTGGTGATGAAGGCGACAGTGATGATGGTGGTGGTGGTGAGGATGGTGGTGATCATGGTGGTGGTGATGATGGTGGTAATGGTGATGGTGACATCTGTGATGATGGTTGTTGTGATGAAGGCGACAGTGATGATGGTGGTGATCATGGTGGTGGTGATGATGGTGGTGGTAATGGTGGTGGTGGTGATGAAGGCGACAGTGATGATGGTGGTGGTGGTGAGGATGGTGGTGATCATGGTGGTGGTGATGATGGTGGTAATGGTGGTGGTGACATCTGTGATGATGGTTGTTGTGATGAAGGCGACAGTGATGATGGTGGTGATCATGGTGGTGGTGATGATGGTGGTGGTAATGGTGGTGGTGGTGATGAAGGCGACAGTGATGATGGTGGTGGTGGTGAGGATGGTGGTGATCATGGTGGTGGTGATGATGGTGGTAATGGTGGTGGTGCTAATGAAGGCGACAGTGATGATGACTGGAATAATGCCCACAATGTTTCCTCTGCTGGTGATGATGTTGCTACTGCTGCTACCAACGTCGATGATGATGATGATGATATCAAGAATGACATTGCCTTTTTGATCTCCTCCTCCCTCATCATCACCACCATCATCACCACCATCCTCACCACCATCATCGTTCCCATCATCACCACCATCATCACCACCATCATCACCACCATCATCACCACCACCATCAACACCATCATCACCACCATCAACACCAACGTTATCTACACCACCATCATCATCATCACCACCATCATCGTTCCCATCATCACCACCATCATCACCACCACCATCAACACCATCATCACCACCATCAACACCAACGTTATCTACACCACCACCACCATCAACACCAACGTTATCTACACCACCACCATCATCATCACTACCATCAACACCAATGTTATCTACACCATCATCACCACCACCATCATCACCACCATCCTCACCACCACCATCGTTGCCATCATCATCACCACCATCAACAACATCAACCTTATCTACACCATCATCACCACCACCATCATCACCACCACCATCATCACCACCATCAACACCAATGTTATCTAAACCACCACCATCATCACCACCATCATCACCACCAACGTTATCTACACCACCACCATCATCACCACCACCATCAACACCAACGTTATCTACACCACCACCATCATCATCACCACCATCAACACCAACGTTATCTACATCATCATCACCACCACCACCACCATCATCACCACCATGATCACCACCATCCCCACTATCCTCACCACCATCATTCCCATCATCACTGCCACCATCAACACCAACGTTATCTACACCACCACCATCATCACCACCACCACCACCATCATCACCACCAGCATCATCACCACTATCATTATAACCACCACCACCAATAATCACTATAAACCACCACGCTCCCATCCATTATGAAAACCACTATCCTTCATCATCATCACCCTCCTCCATCCTCTTCCTCCTCAACCTCCTCACCCTCCTCCACCCTCACCCGCCTGACCTTCTCCACCACACCTCACCCCCACCCCCTCCACGTTGCGCCAGCGTTCGGTGCTGAGCGCGATGAGCGAGTCACTGCGCGTGTCGCTGCGCTGCCGACACAAGGTTCGGAGGTCACCACCCCCCGCCACCAACAACACCACCACCACCGCCGCCGGTACCACGGCCGCCACGGTCGTGGTGGGTCTCATGCGCTCCGAGGAGCCGCTGGGCATGCACGCCTACAACAACCGGCGGTTGCCCGTGTCCGCCAAGGAAACGCTGGCGTGACCAGCACCACCAGCAGCACCACAACCTCCGCTTCGAAGATGAACTCGAGGAAGGAAGGAAGAGAGAGAGAGATGCTCAAGCAACGCAGCGGCGAGAAGCTTCACTGTTTATAGTCGGTCCTCCGCTTCAACTCGGGCCGCGTGGTTTGCATCATCTGCGGGCGGTGGAGTTGAGCGAACGCCGCCTTCGCCGAACAAATCTTTTGAGGATTTTTGCGGGTGGGCGAGACTCTATACATATATAAATACGAACTACGCCGGGGAAGATTTTTCTTGCTGTTGTTGTTGGGTTTGGTTAATTTCGGTGAATGAAAGTCGGCGCCCCGGGCGTGCGCTGGTTTTGCCTTCCGGCATCTGCCCGTTCCCCCGTTCCCCCGTTCCCGCTGCGAGGCGGACGCAGTTGCTGGAGGCGCTGCGAATCCGGGCAACGCGCACAGCGGTTGGGCGGGTAAAAAGGACATTGTCTTTGTGTTGTTTCAAGAGAGAGGCGTACGTAGCGGCAGCGCGCCCCCGTGGTTCTTTTGACGTCGCCGCGACTCAACCGCGGAGATCCGCGCCGCGGCACGGACAGCGCTGATCTCAAACGACAGCCGGCGCCAGAAGCTGTGTCACACACACGCAGGCAGATAGACACACAGATACACACACACACACGCAGACACACATACAGACAGATACACAGACACACACACACGCAGACACACATACAGACAGACACACAGATATACACAGACAGACACACAGACACATACAGATACACACACACACGCAGACACACATACAGACAGATAGACAGACACACACACACAGACACACAGACAGACAGACACACAGACACACACAGACAGATAGACACACAGACACACACACAGATACACACACGCAGACAGACAGACACACAGACACACATAGACAGATAGACACACAGACACACAGACAGATAGACACACAGACACACACACACACACGCAGACACACATACAGACAGATAGACAGACACACACACGCAGACAGATAGACACACACGCAGACACACATACAGACACACACACAGATAGACACACAGACACTCACACAGGCACACACACACAGACAGACACACAGACACGCACACAGATACACACACACGCAGACACACACACACACAGATAGACACACAGACACTCACACACAGACAGACAAACACACACACACACAGACAAACACACAGACACACAGACAGGCACACACACGCCCCCGTCACCCCCTTCCACGCGCGTGGCCTTGTTGGGGGCGAATCTTGGTACGTTCCTGCCCGATGGAGTTGCTTCGTAAAAACTTACGCGCGCGTCATCCGGAAACGGAACCGGGAGAGAGAGAAAGTCATACCGTGGATGCGCCTGCCTGTGTGCGTGTGTGCTTGTGTGTGTGCGTGCGTGTGTGCGTGTGGGTGTGCGTGCGTGTGTGCGTGCGTGTGTGTGCGTGTCTGCGTGTGTGTGCATGCGTGTGTGTGTGTGCATGCGTGTGTGCGTGCGTGCGTGCGTGTGCGTGCGTGTGTGTGTGCGTGCGTGTGTGCGTGCGTGCGTGTGTGTGCGTGCCTGCCTGCGTGTGCGTGCGTGCGTACGTCATCGCAAACAGGAAGAGTTAAAAAAAGTTTTTAAGAAAACGGGAACGCGAAATGCGTCAAGACAAAAAAAGTATACGAATGCATCCATCTAGAGAAAGCAAAACGCGAGCTTGGATCGAACTTCTGCTTCGGTGAAAACCTCTGGACGACGCAGAAACGTTCACCGCGTCGCGCAGAGCGAGCGTGAGGGCACCATTTGTTATTCGTTCATTCTCTTATTTCTTTCGGTAAAGTCACGTAGGTAAAAAAATGAAATGAAAATTAATAAAAAAATAAAATTATTTTGATTTCATTTTTTTAATTAATAAAATTTTTTATAAAAATAAAATTATTTTAATTTCATTTTTTACCTACATGGTGACTTTACCGAAAGAAATAAGAGTATGAATCCTTGCAGTCACGAAAGCTTCAAATCTGCCGGGAGGGTTCATATTCTTAGGTTTTTTCGGTAAAGTCACGTAGGTAAAAAATTTTAATTAATAAAAGTAAAATAAAAATAAAATCACGACGTTTCGGAGGCAACACAAGCTTCCGTCTTCAGGTGGAATCGTCACAGCCACGACAGCTGTATCAAGTAAATGAGAGATTGCTTGGCCCTTCCCCTCTTCAACCATTATGTATACGGAGTGGTAGCTCTTGTAATCTCTCATTTACTTGATACAGCTGTCGTGGCTGTGACGGTTCCACCTGAAGACGGAAGCTTGTGTTGCCTCCGAAACGTCGTGATTTTTATTTTATTTTATTAATTTTCATTTTTTACCTACGTGACTTTACCGAAAGAAATAAGAGTATGAATCCTTGCAGTCACGAAAGCTTCAAATCTAGAATTAATTCGTTTGCGTCGTGCGGTGAGGGGCCGTCCATAAATGACGTCACGCACATAGGGGACGGGGGGGGGGGTCAGACATTTGTGACGGTGTGTGACGAGGGGGGAGGGGCGTGTTTGAGAAATGTGACGTCGCATCAAAATGCGCAACTTTAAATAAATACGGACAACACGTTCTACTTAATTAAATAGACTTTTTAATACATGTTTTCTACTACAACATCAGAGTGCAGCGCCACATTAAATACGCACTACAATGACAATAGTTTAAAGCGATTTGAAGCATGTTTTTTTTTTCGGGGGGTGGGGGGCAGAGCTTTGTGACGTCAGATTTGAGGTGGGGGTCTGACTTTTTGTGACGCCTAGTGACGAGGGGGGTGGTCAAAAATCGTTCAAAATCGCATGACGTCATTTATGGACGGCCCCTGATGTTGGAGCCAGAGAGTTTCTGCCCCTTCGAGGCCTGCGGCATTCACCGCAGTGAAGACCCCGCGCGACCAAGGCGAGAGCACGGACACTCCGAATACGCAGGGGCGGGTCTATGCCGAACCCACGACCTCCTGTATACCAGGCGAGGTAGTTAACATCTCCTAGCCACCGTGATGATGATGAAAGATAGGGAGAGACACGCAAATTCCAAATATACAGCTGCAGGCGTCAGGGTCTAGATCGAAACCACGACCTCCTGTATACCAGGCGAGGTAGTTAACATCCCACCACGGGGAGAGAGAGACAGAGACACGCAAACTCCAAATATACAGCAGCAGGTGTCAGGGTCGGGATGGAACCCACGACCTCCTGTATACCAGGCGAGGTAGTTAACATCTCCTAGCCACCGTGATGATGATGAGAGAGAGATAGACACGCAAACTCCAAATATACAGCAGCAGGCGTCAGGGTCGGGATCGGGATCGAACCCACGACCTCCTGTATACCCGGCGAGGTAGTTAACATCTCACCACGGGGAGAGAGAGAGACACGCAAACTCCAAATATACAGCAGCAGGCGTCAGGTTCGGGATCGAACCTACGACCTCCTGTATACCCGGCGAGGTAGTTAACATCTCACCACGGGGAGAGAGAGAGACACGCAAACTCCAAATATACAGCAGCAGGCGTCAGGCTCGAGATCGAACCCACGACCTCCTGTATACCAGGCGAGGTAGTTAACATCTCCTAGCCACCACGTCACCCCTCAACATGAATGAGTGTTTACATTTGGGAGGCCACTGGAGCACATGGAGACACTCCACGCGTGCGAGCGAGGGGGCAACGCTAGATCCCTGTACGGACGGAACAGGTTGGGGGGTCAACATTTGTTTTCCTGTAAGCGCCTTCTCGTGGTGGGCCACGGGTGCGATTCCTCCTCGCCGCCAACTCACAGGGAACGAGTTTCACACCATCTGTGTGCGATCCTACCAACTCTCGCTGCTGCCTCCACACTGCTGGATGATTACAGTCAGACACGTGCAGCGTAGTAGCCGCCACCACTCAGTACAAGCGCCTCCAAACAATTCAGCAAGACTCGAGTGTTATGAAATAAAAATAAAAAAACACCTTGATAATCACCCCTACTTAATACAAGCAGAACTCCACTCGTGCGTTAGCCAATCGGTTTACGGGCTTTCTAGCGACCAGGCTCTGGCTCGCTGATGAGCTGTGCGTTGTGGAAGATGTGCAACGTTTTGGTGGTGGTGGGCCTGCTGATGAACCGTGTGTTGTGGAAGCCAGGTAACGTGGTGGTGGTGGTGGTGGTGGGCTTGCTGATGAGCCGTGTGTTCTGGAAGCCAGGTAACGTGGTGTTGGGCTTGCTGATGAGTCGTGTGTTCTGGAAGCCAGGCAACGTGGTGGTGTTGGGCGTGTTGATGAGCCGCGAGTTGTAAAAGCCAGGAAACGTGGTGGTGGGCGTGCTGATGAGTCGTGTTTTGTAGAAGCCAGGCAACGTGGTGTTGGGCTTGCTGATGAGCCGTGTGTTCTGGAAGCCAGGAAACGTGGTGTTGGGCTTGCTGATGAGCCGTGTGTTGTAGAAGCCAGGCAACGTGGTGCTGGGCTTGCTGATGAGTCGCGAGTTGTAAAAGCCAGGAAACGTGGTGGTGCTGGGCGTGCTGATGAGCTGTGTGTTGCAGAAGCCAGGCAACGTTGTGGTAGTGGGCTTGCTGATGAGCTGTGTGTTCTAGAAGGAAGGCAACGTGGTGCTGGGCGTGCTGATGAGCCGTGTGTTGTAGTAGCCGGGTGACGTTGTGGTGGGCTTGCTGATGAGCCGTGTGTTCTAGAAGGAAGGCAACGTGGTGGTGGGCTTGCTGATGAGTCGTGTGTTGTGAGGGCCAGGGCAGTGTGGTGGTTGCTATAACTCCATCACCTTGAACACTCACGAACGATGGGGTTGCTACCTGTGGCTTTCTCTCCAACGATGATGATGATCATGGGAAGGTGAACCGGTGTTCTCTGATGAATGGTGACTTGCGATCTTCAGTTTCATCCTGAGACTAGTCAGGCGGCCAGGGTAAGGATTGGAGCATTGTGGTGTGTGTCTGTGTGTCTCTTTGTGAGTGTGTATGTGTGTCTCTTTGTGTGTGTGTCTGTGTGTGTGTCTGTCTGTGTGTGTCTGTGTGTGTGTCTGTCTGTGTGTGTCTGTGTGTGTGTGTGTAGCGGTCAGCACGCTGCGCTACAAACCCGACGACCCGAGTTTGATTCCCGCTCATGCCCAACACCCAGTGACGATTGTCTCAATCGGTCTTTTGGGCCTCCCCTAGGTCGACTCAGCCTCAAATGAGTGTAGTGTTTAAACATCGCCACCAGGGAGACAAAGGCGGCCGGGCGTGGTGCTGGCCACCCACCCCCTCGTGTGCTGTGTCGGCTTTCATAGGTGCTCGGTAACAGCACTTTCCCCAAAAGTCTGCTAAGGCTACACGGGGGATCTTTGTTTTTTGTGATCGTGTGCTCACGCGTGGGTGTTGGTTCATGCGTGAGCGGAGCGGTGGCGCTGTGGTTAGCGCACTTATTTGGAGTCGGATTATAGTTTTGGAGTGTGCACGTGCGCGCGTGCGTGCGTGTTCTCACTGATGATTGGTGAATGCGATCTTGACATTGATCCTGGGATTATCTTGGGAGCCACTTTGGGGGATCGTAGCTTTGGGGCTATGCGTAGGGCTGCCACCTCTAGAGTTACAAAGGAGACGGGGAGTTATCATGGGACAAATAAAAATAATCTCTCGCTGGGGGTGAAGAGGGGAGAGTTAAGTGTGAATGCGGCGTCTCGACTGGTGGATTATTTGTGATATTGTTATGCAAAGCGGGACTTTAACTGCATCACTCACTCACCCACCCACTCACCCACGCATCCACTCACCCACGCTTTCACTCACACATTCACTCTCCCACTCGCTCATGCACTCACTCAATCACCCATCCACTCATTTCCTCACCCACTCACTCACCTACCCATCCACTCACCCATTCATCCACTCACCCATTCACTCCCACTCACTCAATCACCCATCCACTCATTGGTTCACCCACTCACTCACCCACCCATCCACTCATCCATTCATCCACTCACCCATTCACTCCCACTCACTCAATCACCCATCCACTCAATGGTTCACCCACTCACCCACCCATCCACTCGCCCATTCACTCATGCACTTACTCAATAACCCATCCACTCATTGCCTCACCCACTCACTCACCCACCCATCCACTCACCCATTCATCCACTCACCCATTCACTCCCACTCACTCAATCACCCATCCACTCATTGCCTCACCCACTCACTCACCCACCCATCCACTCACCCATTCATCCACTCACCCATTCACTCCCACTCACTCAATCACCCATCCACTCATTGGTTCACCCACTCACTCACCCACCCATCCACTCACCCATTCATCCACTCACCCATTCACTCCCACTCACTCAATCACCCATCCACTCATTGGTTCACCCACTCACCCACCCATCCACTCACCCATTCACTCATGCACTTACTCAATAACCCATCCACTCATTGCCTCACCCACTCATTCACCCACCCATCCGCTCACCCGTCGACTCACCCACTCACTCAAGCGCCCATCCACTCATTCAGCCAACTCATTGGCTCACTCACCGACTCACCCGCCCATCCAATCGCCCATTGACCCATGCGCTCTCCTTCTCACTCACCCATCCACTCACTCAATCACCCATCCATTCATTCAGCCATTCGTTGGCTCACTCACCCATCCACTGACCTACTTACCCACTCACTCACCCTCCCACTCATCCGCTCACGCACTCAGGGTTTTTCATGCCCACTCTGAAGATGCTTCGGAAATATCCTCGGTATGACCACGTGTTTATTATTCGCATCATCAAAGAAGATATTAATCATTTAGACAAGAGCAGACAATTTTGGAAGCACTCGCTTTAAGAGACGTATTGTTTCGCTTTGTATATATATATGAAGGTTTGTTTAATAGACTGGCTGACACGAAAGCCTCTTGACTTGATGGAATTTTAATTAGATTTTAAGCTCACGAAAAAAATAGATTGAGCTAATTTGATTTTCAACCGGTCAAAGGTTGATGCCTCCCTCCCCTCCCTCAATCCCCTCCCTCTCCTCCCTCTCCTCCCTCCCCTGCCTATGCTCAGTCACCATTGGTGTCGTAGTAATATAATTACATGTCATAATTCATATCATCATCACCACCACCATCCTATCAATATA